AAAGGTTACAACAGGAAACAGCACAGGTCACAAATGCACACAAGACAGACACAGATCTGCATAAATTCCACAGAATCTCTAATTTGCAGCACACTAGACAGATCTAGAAATATACCACAAGATGTTATGATGTTAATATAAATATTCCAGGATCCTCTATGGTTTTGAATTAAAGACCTGCTTCAGAATAAACAATTGTACAAATGACCTTGCATTCTGCAGATACCAGCTCAGTATCACACTATCTCAACACAATTTTGATGTAGTTCCACTTTAAAAGTGTGATAGATAGTAAACTGTTTGTTCATCAAATTCAATTAAAGACAATGGAGAAAGCAAGAAGTACGAGTGTAATAAATAAATATATGTAATGAATTTGTTCTCAAACCGGCAGATGAGGGAAGAAGGCCCCCCCCCTTATTACTTGTGTCTTTGTTACATCTTCTCTTTAAAGTCACTGTTGTGTGAAAACCTGATACGTAATAAATTACCAAATTCCTGAGTGACGTATCCTGATAAGTAAACAAGCACTAGCCCTCCCTGCTTCATGCTGTCAGGATGACCCTAACAACAGTACGTGCAGCTGCAGAAAGATACCAGGATGCCATAGAAAGGGACTCTGGTGGGAGGTGAGGTGTATAACAGAAAGATTTGTGGCTCCTTACCAAGGACAGATTTTGATAAGAACCAGGAGTTTCTCTTAAGAACTGATTTGCACCAACTCTGCAGTTTGGGCAAGAGCCAAGGAGCAACAGAGTCTGCGCAAGAACAAGGGGTTACTAGCGGTGATGAAGAGGAGCCATCAGCCTTCATCCCCACGACCCCCGACAACCACCACAAGGAGGCACTGAGCAAGCGCAGTGGGGAGGAGTTCATGGAAATGACTTCTTGGGGCTAATTTTAATACGAAGCGAGGACAAGTCATGCATATGTATAGGCATATTTGGGAATCTTATGTATATGTAACACCTTGTAGTATAACTTCGAGGAAAATCAACATACAGCGCGCGCCTTTGGAGGGAGCAAGGGTCTCCCGGGCCGCCCGGCGCTGTTTTGCTTGCTGACTGCTTACTCAATAAACTTGATACTAAATTTCATAATGACTCCTATAAATTATTTAAGGAAGTAACGTATAACAAAAAGAACTGAAATTTTTAGGCAATCAGAAGATGTTCTTTTCTCCTCAAGCAGCCTCAATACACTTTACATAAACGAGCATGCCACTTGGCTGTATTCTTGACCACTCAGACAAGGTTAACGATGTGGGAATCCCCACAGCTGAACCAACTAATAGGACCAAAGCCAAGTCAGATGGACAGGGAAATAGATGGTAACAGGTCTATGGTGTTTTTTACGTGAGATCTAACCGGCAATTTATAATTCTGGCTTGTCCTGATCAAAACACCTGTTTAACAAATCCTCCCAACCCCCCACTCCCCCCACCCCTTCTCCTCTCTTGTTCTTGACATTTATTTCATGCTGCTTAGGAGGCCTTCCCTGGCATAACCTACACCCAGTTGCACCAGTGCACAAAGAACGCTTTATTCACTGAGATGCAACTTACCCAAATAGTTGTTGCTCTTTGACATCTCAGTAATGTTGATTTTAGTAGCTCCTTCAGGAATTTCAACTATCTTGTGGTAGCCGAGATTCGTTAGCGTGTGTTTGAAAACTCCAGACACAACCTTGCAAGCAGTGTTGTCCCCTCCACATATTCCGCACTTGTCAATCACCTTGTCTGAACCCAGATAGTCGTCACAGCCGATGCTCTGCAAAATAAAATAAGATTTATTTTTCCAAGATCTTAGAGCTGCAGACTTCAGACATAACAACCAAGGACAGTATGACCTTCAGAGAACATTCAATCCTGAAAAGATTTTGTGAATTAGAATTTCAGCAATTTCTTCCCTTGTTCTTCTGTATGCAAAAAGACAATAAAAACCAGATGATTCACAGACGTGGGGATTTGAAGTTAGCCGACAGGTTTTACAGCCTATTACGAAAAATCCAAGAACACACTAAAGAACATTGATCATTGCCTATTACACCCTCCTCAGCTGAAAGAAAACAATCTCTTAACAACATAGTTCTTGTAGCTGCTAGCCAGAATAGAGGTGAAGAGTTATGATTTTGTTGTGATCCAAAATGGGCTTTTTACAAAGGCAGAACTACTTTATATACAACGTGTCATCTTAATCTCCCCTCAAATTGAGCACTGAGCCTATTCTCACCAAAAGAGAGTTCTAAAAAGTCTTTATGCTGCATCAAGACAGTTACAGAAGCGATCCCCCTGTTCACAGAGTAGAAAATCTTCAACCCACTCAGTAACATCCACTTGGATGGGATAGTTTAAAAAAAAATTAAATAATTTAAAATAATGTAAATTAAAGGGCAGAAAAAACGTTAAAGATTTGACACAAACCAGAAAAAAAGAATCTTTCCAGCTTACTGCACTTTAAAAGTACACATAATGTCAAGGCTATATCCTCTTCTACAGAAATGTTTCTATTCATTGATCTTGCTATTTCGTATTTACAGACTTTAACACATCATCTACCTATATGATTAATTTATATTATAATAATGATTATAACATATAACTTATTTCATATATTACAATACTTATTCTAATTTATTATTAATTGGCACATGCAAAAAAAGAACTTCTCATTCTCATTCAGATAAGAATGAAATATTACATGAGCCAGTAGAACAGAAGCCTATGACATATTTTATGAAGTGTAGTAATCTGATGGAAAACGTTCAAAATAAATGACATTGTTCTGCTATTTCAAATTGTCAAAAATAGTTGCAAATTCTTGATGAAAAAATGGTTAATTATTGTTTTATGGTCTTCCGTGGAAGCAAACATCCAAGTTAGAGGGGGAAGAAGAAGAATTTGTTGATACCACCAACTAACAACATTGGGAGTATCCTGAGCCTTGGCACCACTGCGTTTCTTTCCTATTCCCAATAGTAACGCTTGGCCCTTGCTGAGAAAAATGTTCTAAACTGCAAGCCAGAGTCTGCTTAGTTCCAATATAAATATTTAACACCCAACATGTTTTTTATGACAATCCAAGAAACACAGATAAAACCATCTAACTCATCACTGCCAGGATTGTATGGAGCTTGACAATGATACCTGCTTGCAGACACGAAGGAAGAGAATGAAGATTCGCGAGCATTCTGTGTTTCACAGTGGGATAACCTAATAACTACAAATGTGTTCCATCCTATAAAATCTAGCATGAGCATATTGTTGCATGATTTCAAAGAGATTTGGGATTCAAATAGAAACAGGTTTATCATCTTGTGTTTGCATCGCTTTGCAGAAATCTTAAAATCAAGTCAGAGTTCAATTTTTGTGTTTTGCCTCAAAGTGCATTTTATTACTGACAAAGTAATGCATTTGCTTAAACATAGAAATTACAAATGTCACTACACGAAATAATACAATATGATTTCAGATCTGCTAAAACAATCTGAAAAAAGTGAGTGATCTAAATTTAAGACAGCTGTGCCCAATGGCTGATTAATTTCTGCACTAGTCCTTGAAGGACATCTTGCTGAGAGTATTTACACTTTCTGTACCATACATTTTTGCATGGAAATGTAGTGGTACTTAGCCTCAGCCTACGTTATACAGTGACCTTCAGGAAATGTCCACTGCCAGCAAGTTGGTTTTTTGAGGGAATCCTTTCAAGTATGAGGCTTTATACAATGTGAATTGCTAGCATAAATGTTTAATGGTGTTCCCCATCACTACTGAGTCCCACACAGGTTAATACCATTTTTTTCCTCTTGGCAAATAAAAGATAATAGAGAAAAGTGTGTTTTATTCATTGAGACCATAACGCAGAACTACTGTGGGTCAGTCTGAACAGAACTACTTTTCACAGAAGAAACACAACCATTCAGTACAAATGGGATTTTGTTGTAGGGAATAAATATCAAACCTGTTTTAAGCTCACATGTTGTTCTTAGTCAGATATTGACCAACATACTAAGCAACTGTCAGTCTCTGGCTGTACTGTTTGGAATTCTTCCCACATAGGGTAAAAGGAGTCTGTGTCACAAAAAGTGCCTGTAATGTTTAAATGCTCTTTCACAGAAATGACTGAGAAAGATACAAAGAATGACTTACTGGAGACAAGGACCTAATAATTTGAAACCAGCAGCTGACAATGAGGAAAAAGCCACAGAACAAGTACACTTAAACTTAGTATAAGAAATAATAAGATATTAAATAAATGACACAAGATAAATAAAATAATAAATACAAGAAATAATAAGATATAAATAAACAATAGATATTATGCAGAGTGCACTCATATTCTTTTTACATACCAACAGAACAGGTATTTAGCAACAAATTACAATTTTAGAAAGAAAAATTGAAAATCTTTACTGGGGCATCTACTGAGGCTTCCGTGGAAATCACGTACATTAAAGAGGAATATTGCATTGGTTTCAGAGGAAGAGGCCAGTTATAACTAATACATTCTAGAAAACTTTGACATTTGCTTAATACAGTTTAAGCAGACATATAAAAATGACTGTATACTCTCTGGTATTTCCAGATCCAGCAAGAATATCATATAGCAAGCCTGTGTCCCACATGTTCTATGGGAATCTCCCTTTCTAACTGTATAAAGCACAGATTTCTAGCACTGACAGGTCATGACATATTGAATCAGACACCTCTTACTGGTCCAGGACTCAATACTTATGATGTCCCAGGCCTTGGTCCAGAGTAATTTTGGGAAGATGAAAGAAACTCCTTTCTGGCAAACTGATTCTGTTTTCTTTCTGCTTTTAAATAGCTGCTTGAAGCTGTGCAGAGATTGGGAATGGTAGTCATTCTTGTAGAACTAGGCTGGTAAACAGAATTCACCCAAATTAACCAAAAATGTGGAATCCATGCAAGTGTACTGAAGAGATAATGCAGAATTTTTTTTCTCCTTTTTTTTTTTCCCCCTGTTATGACTATAAACTTAAGAAGTACCACCTTGCTACTTGGCTAACATATTCATGTAAAAACATGAACCAACTTCTAACATCTCTCAGGATGTGATATTCATTACATTTAAGCACATATATATGCAGCAAGCATAAATCCCCTTGTCACTTTGCCTAATACATTGTGATAGATCAGCAAGAAAAAATGATGCTAAGAGAAGAAGTGAAACGAACTGGAATCCACTATGAGTGTCCCTTCCAATATTTGCTGTGGGAACACGAATAAGTCTTAACTATGTCAATAGATATAAAGATCAGAGGTTTTGCTAGATAAGCAGATAGGTCTGAAATCTCAGATAGTCTCCTTGTACAACTCCAGAAGGCTGAGATGTAAGTGGGTGCCAAAAATATTAACACCCAACTTAACAGCCCAGTACACTCTCACAACGGTGAAAGGCGGCCTTGGTCAATGAAGAATTCACAGTTGGTTTTCATCATATAATACACATCTAAAGAATCCAAAACCAGATATCACTTTTCAAGCTACATCACATACAACATTCCTACTATGAATGTAGAAACACTAGGACTGCAAATACGAGTTGAACAAGACGACAAAGGTAAATGCATTCTGCCCACCAAAAGGATTTTGGACAGGACTACCGCAAGCTGTTCCTTGGCTATCAATATGAGGAGGTCTAGAATGCATATGTCCCTTAAAACATTTTCTTGCGAAGTATTGTTTCTTAGAAGAGGTACTTTTGATGTGCGCTATCTATACATCTTCTGTATTGCTCAACTATTTTTGCAAAGTGGTTCAAGAAACTCTTAAGTTACACGTTAGCATGAAAGACATTGTTCAAGAGTTACAGCCAACTGTATGCCAAAATTAATTTAAATAAAAACCCTTGAGAGAAACAAGGGACAATCTGGATGAAATATTCAGTGGTGGACTTAATAGGGATTTAGGACTATGTATACAATAGAATGGGGCTGGTGCCAGGCATTTGAAAACATGAAGTGCTGATCCTTGAAATGGAAAACAGATGTTACAATTCTAGTACTAAATGATTCTATTAAAAATTGCAATCTATGTGGTAGAGTGGCATAAATAATACAACATGACAATAACTTGCTTCCATTGCTTTAGCTGCATTGTATTATCAGGTAGGAAAGCCACAGTTATGAGTTGTAGTTTATTAACACCATTAACTTCAAAAATTGGTTATATTGATAGGTAGTTAGCTAGCAGTTGTAATACGTAAGTAATTTGGAGTCTGGGCATCCATGGGGCTAGAAGGCAGAAGAATAAAATGTTTATTAGAAGTCATACGTAAGTATAAGTCAAGAATTCTAAGAAAAGGGTCAGGGACAGTTGCAGATGTACCACAGCTGATCCAGCTGCTAAAGAAATGTTAGGCAGGGTAATGTGAGAAGAGTAATCAAGCAAGGTGCATGGCCTAAAACACCACTAAAGAAGTTAAATGGGTAGCAGAAGAATACTTGGCTACTGATGGGAGACCTGCTTTAACGCTGTATATTATCAATAAATCCTAGTTCTACATATTACTGAGGCCATTGCTAATTAAGTTTGATATGCTACTGTCCTATGAAACAGAGCTTCATGGGAGTCATCGTATTTGCTGTTCTGCTCGAGCAATGCCACATCTCCCCCAATTTGGTATCACTGATTTAGCCACCAAACAAACCTCTTTCATCTGCTCTGCAGAATAATTAAAAGTATTGAGATTAACTGTTAGCACTGTGGGTGATTTCTAGGAGTTATCTACAAGAGATGATGCCTTTA